CTACCCTCGACACTCCTGCTGTTGCCTTGCGAAAAGTGCTGTAATTATCGATGAAAACTCGTCCTCACAGCCTCAAAAACGTGACGTCAAAAATGACACCCGCACCTACTACTACTACTAACTACTACTACTACTACTACTACTACTACTACTACTATTGCTGCTGCTACTACTACTACTACTACTACTACTGCTGCTACTACTACTACTACTACGACGATGACGACTACCACTACCACTACCCCCACCGCTGCCGCTACCGCTACCGCTACCGCTACCGCTACCGCTACCGCTACCACTACCACCACCACTACCACGACCACTACCACGACCACTACTACTACCACTGCCACCACCACTGCCGCGAAGTCGGGCTGTGCTCTGAGGAATGCTGTGCCCATGGTTCTGCACCTGTCCGGGCTCGCAATGCACTGTGGCAGCGTTGATGATGAGGATACTTGCAAACCGCTTGATCTCAGAGAACAGCGGACAAATGTCGACATCCGAGAGATCAACTTTCAGGGCCTGGCGGCTCTGAGGCCGAGATCGTGGGAGGGCACGATGCAGCAGGATGAGTTGGAAACGCCCCGATACAAAAGAGAGGACGGGATTGTGCTCTTGCAGGGCTCTTTTGATGCAGCAGTCTTCGGGTTCGAGAAGCAGACCATCGCATTCTTGCCGGAGGGCGTCCGCCCATGGCGGACAGTCCGCTGCCTGGCGCCATTGCCACTTGGAAGCACGGTTCGAAGCATTCTCGGAACCTTCTATAAGCGTCTGTCACTCCAAGGCCTTGAGCATGGACTAGGCCTAGGCTCTCATGAAGCCCCTAGGCTGAAGAGGCGGCCCAACCAAAATGGAGAGCAAGACATCGCTTCCGAGCTCATCGCAGATGAGTCCTTGGCAGTGACTATTCACACAAACGGACACATCTGTGTCGAAGGAGGCAACATTCATTCCCTGGATAAAAAAGGCCGCATGCGAGTCGTGCCGCAGAAAAAGCGTGGCTGGCTTTACTTGGATGGTGTTCGCTTCATCCTTGCCAAAGGTGAACCAATCGAGGTTTCTGCCGCCCTGGCAGAAGAGAAAGAGCGGAAAGTTTCTACACTTTTCGCTGATGATGATGACGATGCCGTGTCCTACAGGCAAGGCAGTATCGTGTGTCTTGAAGGGGTTTTGCACTGGCCCACCACAAAAGCCACACCACACGTACGCAGAGCCCTTGGCTTTCTTCCTAGAGGCCACTGGCCGGAGCGTCGCGAGGTCTTCTTCACGCGTGGCCATACTTTCGAGGAGGAAGAGCGATGCAGGGTGGACATCGACCGCTACGGCCGCGTGTTCTGCCCAGAAGGTGGGGCCGAAAATGGCAGAGTGAACCTGAGTGGAATCATCTTCAAGGCTGCGGATCCAGACACTACGCCGGCAACAAGCCCACAGTCCCAAGATTGGGATGAGCTTTCAATTCAATATTGCAATGCGAAACAAGATGCTGACCACGGCTACAAGCTGCTGGAAGCTTTCATCCAGACCTGCACGAAGAAGGAATGGACCTACATCGAGCACACGATCTCACAGCAGGTCACTGGACGCAAGCTTCAAACTCCATGGGGCCAGGGAATCGCGCCAAGGGGTGTTCAAAGGATCAACGAGCATGACCTCGATGAGGATATGAGATTTCTCTGGGATAAGAAGATCCGCAAGGTCGTGGATGATAAGCTGGGCATCAAGAGCCCACATATGCTGTTCCAGCTCTCCTTGCCAAAGCTGCAGTTGGTTTGTGATCTTCTGCGCAAGGAGCAAGTGGGTTTGAAGGACAGGGAGCTGGCCAGCCTCAAGAACATGCACGAACGGCTGTCGGAAGTCTGGGAAATCTCAAAGCACGGCGACCTCCACTTTAAGCTCCTGAGAGCCTCCTGGCTGTCAGTGTGCCTCAAACCCTCTTTTTTTCTCTAGCATTCTTGTACACTGTTCATGACGTGGGTAGTATGGTATAATATAGTATATATAGCAGCTATAGCAGCCTCCTTCACATGGCTACACACATGTCGTATCTTGGGAACGGAATTATCGCGGGCATTACATCTCCGAGGACAAGCAATCCCTCTGGAGCAAACAGCTTCCATCCTGCCTGTAGACAACCACCCTAAACCCTAAACCCTAAAACCCTAAAACCCTAAAACCCTCAACCCCAAAATCCCCAAACCCTAATTCCTAAACGCTCTGAACCGTTGCGAATGGTTGAATGCCGAGCCGACTCCTCGAGAGAGCAAGTCCAGAAAGAGCCCCTCTCTTCGAGAACTCTCATGACTCTGTGGCCGGTGCACAATTTTTGGTTGTGAAGCTCCCACCCACCATTTAGCTCGAAGGAAACGAGTGCATTCCCTATCTTACCAATATGGTGTAGGGAATGTCTGGCATTCGAACTAGCAAGAGCATGCCCGAACCAATGTCGACCACACTGCTGCCCCGTGAAGTTATCTTGTCTCTGTGGAGGTGGAGGTTTCGGTTTTGTGAATCCTGCCTTGTCAACACAATCCGTGCTATAATGTATGATCTGCCTGCCAAGGACACGGCGGTGGAGATTGTCGATCAAATGGTTACGAGGTGGGATTTTGACGCGCAGATTGCCGGGCTCCTGACCAACGACTTCCGGGCACCTGAATCGATCCTCGGGGACTGAGCAGGTAAGCTTTACATTCTTCGACTCTCTAGCGTTTAGTACGGTCGTACAGGATTGGTGGGTAATCAGGTCCGACCCACGCAGAGCAGAATTCGAGCTTTCTTTGCCAGTTCCATGGGTATGTAAGGATCAGACATTTGTATCCAGAGCGCTTGCGTGGGGACGTTGCCAAGAAGGTTCATGCGATGAGCAGCGACGACAAGGCGAAGTATGAGGAGATCTATCAGTTCTTTAGAAACTTCGAGACGAACGGAAACACAATGACCCACTGCAGCCTCATGGGCACGACTGATACCTTCACTGCTACGGGCAAGTGGCATTTTCCTGACACCTCAAGCGTGCAGAAGCAGCTGTTTGAAAGCATTGCATGGCTCTTCGAAAGAGACATCCACCATTACATCTCCGAACGCCAGACATCGGTGTTTCCATTCATTGAGGATTTCGACATTGAGGCCACGCGCAGCATGATTTTGCATGATTAACAAAGCTGTGCTATGCTATCTTCGCTCGTCTCCGGTTGCTGCATGCTGGGAATGTTGGCCGAACCTAGCTTCCCGCGATGTTAAAGCCGGGCCAGCACTTCGAAAAAGCGTGCTTGACCAAAGGATACTAAAGAGCTAAAGCGCAGCAACACGGTTTTTTTAAGGCTTCAAGCCGAGAGTGCAAGGCAGAGGATGGCTACTGCGAGAAAGACCCTGCAACTGGTCACTCACCTCCTCCGGACGAGGACATCATGTACAAGCCAGGGAGCTTCAGCTGCAAAAAGCTTCGAAAGATTCGCAGTGGAGAGTAAAGGCAAGGCGCGGCGCAGGGCTTGGATTCGATCGAGTTCAACTGCCAGACGTCAGCCTGAATTCTCAAGCCCGAGGAAGAACAACGGAGACCCCGGGGAGCTCATACGCTGGCGTGCCAAGGCCATCCATCACTTGCTCCTTCGCTCCAAACCCCTGAGCTTTGACCAGAAGCGTCTGCTAGAATCTACTTGTTTTTGATGCAGTGCTCTGAATGAGGCGCTAGCGCACGCACGATGGGGTGGGTTGAGATGTTCAAGCGCTTCCAACCTCGTCGCTCTAGGGATTGTCAGCAAGTCTGTCCTGCCACCACTACTACTACTACTACTACTACTACTACTACTACCGCGATTGCTGCTGCTGCTATTAGTACTACTATTATTACTACGACTACTTCTTCTCCTTATACGACTACTACTACGCCAACGACGACGAGGACGCCCAATACTTCCGCCGCTGCTGCTGCTGCTGCTGCTGCTGTTGCTGCTGCTGCTCCTGCTACTGCTACTGCTACTGCTACTGCTACTGCTACTGCTACTGCTACTGCTACTGCTACTGCTGCTGCTACTACTACTACTACTACCACCACCACCAATAATATTACTAGTACTAGTACTAGTACTAGTACTGCTACTAGTACTAGTACTACCACTACCACTACNNACTACTACTACTACTACTGCCACTGATGCTGCCGGTCCTGCTGCTGACCCACAGATGCTCCAACAGCTCATGTACATGAACCATATGAACAGCTATACCAGTCATGCTTCCTATAAAGACCACTCTGGTTAAGAACACTCCGAGCGTCAAGACTGGAGACAATCTTCATCACACGAAGAATCTCAACCTCGTTTGGGAGAACGCGAGTCTCGCTCTCTTGGATCATCCTTCCTCATTGCCACTCATCGTCACTGGCATTGCTGATGGCATGTTCATCAGCATGATTACCAACATCCGTGCCGCCATTCTCATCTTTGATCTAGCGCTGGTGCAGGTCCCGGTGGTGCTCCTGGGCAGTCGTCGTGCTTGTTGCGGTCGTAGTCGTCGTCGGCGTCAAAATCATGTCGTCTTGGTACGGTTAGCATGGTCGCGCTCACAATCTTTAAATTTCAGACTGTTTGCGTGCCTGCCCTTTGCGCTCAGACGAACGCATTTGGACCGTCGCATTGCTTGACACGTTGTTGCCGAAACGGTGTGTTTGAGAAAAAGCTCCATAATCCCCAAACCCGCCCGGACCCTCCCCTGACTATACTTGTGTTGAACTGCTGGGGTCCTATTCCTTGATAGAACAGAACACCATCGAGGTTCCCGCAGCTGGCACAGTTGCGATGCTTGGTCTACTCTGCATCAGGCAGGGTTTGTTGCAGTGTTGAAAGGGCATCTACGGGAAGTGGACATGATGATTTCGGGAAGAGCAGTGTGGAAGCGTCATGTCAGGCTACAACAGGGGCAAGGAGCGGCTAAAGACGTCTTTCCATTTGGTGTGGCCCGAACTGATCGTTGAGCCAGGCACGGCCGGGCTTTTACGTGAAGTGACTTTGGAGCTCTTTGACGAAGAGACCAAAAAAGAAGGATCATTTCTGCAAAAACTGCAGAAAAAACTGATGGGCTTCTACAAGTCAAACGATTGGTTTAATGTCTTCGACAAGACGACAATCAGTGCCACGAATGGTCTGCGACTCCCATATAACGACAAAGTATCGTCAGTTTACCGAGCCTCGGCATTCGTTTAGGGGCGGGATCGAGAAGAAATCCACCTTGCACAGATTCCCGGGATGTGCTGATGTCCGAGTCGGAACATGGCAACACACTTTTGATTAGCAGGAGATGCAGAGAAATGGCTCAACTGCTTCAGTATTGTGATGCACCCCTAAGGATTCGAGGAAGAGAAGGCGAAGGTTGAGAGAGGGGAAATGGCGAAAGGCAAGGCAGCCAAGAAGCGCGTCAAAGAGAACCGCTATTCAAAGGCGGTCGGAGAGCTGTTGTTCACCTTCGAAGCGGATGTGGCAACCGGCGGTCAGGCTGGGAGTTGCAAAGAAGCGAGGCACCTAGAAACCTACAATAGAACTCGAGCATAGACTAGCACTCTGAAAGAAGTTTCAGGCCACATGAGCCCCTGTGACATGGTAGTCAGGAAGACAAGATCGTTTCTGCGAGGTGGCAGAACACTGACAGCAGAAGTATTGCTCAGTGGATTCAGATGGGATCCTGCCGCCTGGACATGTCCGACCCGGAGAGGACTGGTTTATGCCGCTTAAACTCTGGAGAGAGGGGGGGGGGAACTTGCTTGAGTCGAGCCCGACTCGAAATTAGTCAAGGAGTTGTTCCTTAGGATCACCGGGCATCAGCCCTCACATCCAGAACAAATCAAATAACAAAATGTCTTAGAAGACCACTCCGTGATTGAAAGGACGCAGCCGACGCAGGTATGTCCCACCAGAGAGGGCAAGCGCCTCCTTCGTAAACTGAAGAGGAAGCGCGAGAGCGACCGGTCTGAAAGAGAGCCGGTTGCTGCCTTGATGTTTAAGAAGCGTCTGGGGGTGAAAGGGCCTAACTAACCGAGCCTGACCAGTACAACTGTTATTGATTTTGCCGACCTAGTCTGCTCTAAAGGTATGATGTACCCACATGCCTCAAGAGCGCTGCCTTATATACATCTAGACTCGGAGCACACGGAGCTACCTGGGCTTGGGACATATGTGGAGATTGACGAGACCTGGAGCCTACATAGTAGCACACAAGAGGCCCAGAATGACGCAAGCTAGACCTCAGCCCCTAAGTCTTAAGTCCGTGAGAAGGTATCTCGTCGTTGCGATTCTGAGGTGATGGATTCGATTTCGAACTGGAGATAAGTTCGGATGAGGAGGGTTACGCATTGAAGACCCCTCATCCAAGCGTCGCTCGACCTGTCTTGCATACAGCTTTCAGTAGTGTGATAGGCCCGGCACAGCGAAGATACTTCGTAGAGTTTCGACCAGGTACGGCGGTGCAAGCTGCCGACTCTGGAGTTCGTGAAGCTGTTTGACGAGCAGCTGGAGGGCGAGGTAGACGACTTGGAGTTGGATCAAGAGGATGGCAACAAGGAGCTTGCCAAGGTGCTCAAAGGATCGTGGATCAGCGTTACCCCGGATCAAGCACTGTGGAGAGGGCCTGCCAGTGAGCAAAGCAAAGCCAAGTGTCTCGGCTGGATGCCGAGTTGGAGCCTCAAGCGTGGAAGGCACACTTCAGAGCCTTCGATGAGCAGACCCCTTGAACTGGTTTACCTTCGGAGGTTTAACAACCAGGATGTGGGAAAGATTTTCGTGGATGGCCCGACAAGAACGAAGCAGTTCATTCTAGACATTTTAAGAGGCTGTGCTCCAGCTGTTATGAGGGATGATGTTGCGGTGGTCCAGCGCTACGACCACACAAAGTCCAGGTGGCTCTGAGCCAAGCAAGCCGCAGCTCGCCTCCCAGCTTGAGACAAGAATGGGCCAGAAGTTCTACGCAAATACAGCTGACACTGCTGAAACAACGGATGATTGTGGTGACCCGGCCCCTGACGATAAAGAGGATGAAGACGCACGGACGAAGATTGTGGACTCGGCATAGGTTGTTCCCATCATTGTGTACAGTTGCGTTTGATCTTCGGAAGTCCACATCATATGTCTTTAAAGCCATGCCTGGTGCCTGCCCGGCGGGAGGTGTGACCTCCCATCCTGTTACATCCAGGATGCGGGTAGGCTTCATCCAGTGATGCAACAGATGGAGGATGCAGAGCTGTGCGCGCTGCCAAAAAAATCAGCAGCTCCATCTGCGCATGTGCAGCAGGGTTTTGAGCCTCAAGGACAAAACCGAGAATCCTTTGAAGCTCGTACTCGCACAATTTGACTAGACCCTAACCTCTAAACTCTATCTGTAATGCTAGACCGACAAGCAGCACGCAGATCCGCAAACCTGCAATGACCGTGAAAGTGCGATGATCCTGAATGCTGCATACCTCTAAACCCTACATCGAAACCATTAATGCTGGCTGGCTTTGCTTCTGCAGGAATCGACAGATTCGAGCAGCTCCCAGCTGAAAGAACAGCTCAAGGCCTCCAATTCTGTTCATGAATACTGGTGCCGTGTCATCACTCTGGTAGTGCTGTTGCTTGGCAGGAGCACGTATATTGATTGGCACAAGTCCCAATATCGGAATATGTATTTTTGCCGTCATGGTTTGGATCGCTAGTGGTGCTGTGCGTATTCTCTGTATTCCCGCTTGGTCCGTGGGTGGGCTTCCGGATCTTGAGCCCCGACGGCCCAATCTTGTGAGGAACTGAAGCGCGATGCCGAAGCAAAGCAGCAAGAGCTGGAGAAACAAAAGGAGCAGTCCTCCAGGCCATGCCTTCATGCCACATGGGAGTTTCCGAAAATAAGGGGGTACCCTCTTTTGGGGTCCTTGTAATAAGGATCCTCCTACTATTTCAGGGTACTATATTAGGGTCCCCTATTTTGGGAAACCCCCACATGTGGGCAGTTGACCATCGTATCTTGTTCCCAGCAGGCTTGCCAAAGACCTGCAAGCCCAGCTGGCTGCAGTTTCAGAGGGCAAAGAGAAGCCGAAGGCTGACGAGCTCTCCAGGCCCTCTGGTAGGCCAGGGCGGGAGGGGGGGTAGCTTAGAGTTCGGTATGATGTTGTAGGGTGTCCTTTTCAGGGGGGGTGTTCTTCTTTCCGACAGTCGCACTTCTGCTGCGTTTGTGGATTGTTGTGGTTTTGTCTCACTTGGCTCTACCTTCCTTATGCGAACCCCCAGATCACTTCCCCTTGATGACATCCCCAAGCTCCGCGCCCACTGTCCCGCTCCAACACGCTCCAGCTCGGGGCTGTGCGGTTCAAGCGGATGCCAAGCCGGGCTCAGAGACTCAGAGGCAAGGCTAACTAAGGAGACGGATTTGAATCATATTGAACCCTCTTTTCCCGAAGGAATCTTCAGTACTAAGGGACCATGATCTGGGTGCTTGAGCTTTCTGGGCAGTGCTTTGAGACCAAACTGCAGGTCCGAAGATCTCCCAGAAGCGGAGAAGGTGAAGCAGTGGCTTGAGTTGGCTTTGGTTTGAGCTTTGGTGGGGTGGGATTTGGAGTTGGAGGTTGGGGTGTTGTTGGTTTCTCTCTGAAGGGTTTAGTTGTAGTTTGTCATGTTGGGTTGGATGATCTCGGCTCGGTTGGCCGGAGTAAACTACACGCCATCCTGGACCTAGAATGACCTTGCCGCAGTCCGTTTCGGGTTTGGGTTCTGCCCGGGCTTGGGGTGGCGCGAAACAAAATCTTAGGGATATCTTAGGGGGTTCTGGATATTTGCTGCAGAGCAAAGCCAGAAGTATGGCCTTCCAAAATGGCTTTCAGTCGTGTTTCAACTTATTGAGGAATAGAAGAAAAGATTTGCCGCCTCGAAGGCACAGTCCTTCTTTTGGTTCTGCAGGAAACTGGGGAGTCCAGCGCGGAGCTCCGGAAGCAACTGGAGGCCACTGCGGGGCCTGCGTTGCAACTGGCGGCCTGGACTGTTGCCTGCCGCCCCACGCCGCACCTTCAGGAACTGAAGCAGACTGCCGAAGCACAACGGCAAGAGCTCGAAAAGCAAAAGCAGGAGTCATCCAGGCCACTTGCGCACACTGGCAGAGTGGGTCGTGGTCCCTGTTGCTATCGGACGCCCCTCAGGTGCATACAAGATCTACAAGCACAGCTGGCTTCAGTCGCAGAGAGTGCCAAGGAGAAGCAGAAGGCTGATGAGGAAACCTCCAGGCACACTGCTGCGCGGTTTGTTTGTATTCCTGAATAGCCTCGGGTATCTTACAGATTCTTGGAACCGTCATGTCCCCTGACTCGGCTGACGTTGAAGTTATCCTTCACATGCTTGCCCACTGCCATCGTTTGAGGGCACTCCATCTAGAGGCGTAAGCCCTCAATGAGGCCGATAATGTCGAGTCTGCGCTGCAAGCCGAGTTCCCTGCAGGACCAAAGACGTCACGGAAGCGGAGAAGGTGACGCAGCGGTTCGAGTTGGTTTTATATGTTTTGATGTCGGGGTGTAGGTCGTCAGTGTCCAAGGGCATTGGTTTTCATGTTGTTTTCCCGGAGAGTCTCGATCGCCCCTCGCTATGACTCCACACTCGACCCAAACCGGTTGTGCTTCACATCGTGCCATGCCTTATCCATGCTGTGTTGCAGCTAAGTCTTGCTAAGTTTCCGATTTAACACGGTGGCAGTCTTGCCGTGCCTTTCAAGGTTAGGGGCTTGTGAGTAGCTGCCGCACAGGAACGCCAGAAGTATCGTCTTCACAAGACCGAGCTGGGTGTCAGTCTTGTTCGAAACTGTTGTCGGGAAGCAGAATTGAGCAGTTGAGGCCCACAAGTCACAAGGCTCCAATGGATCACAGGTTTTACGCAGGAATGACGAACTGAGTCTGCTGAACTGCGATATCGTGCTATGAAGCCAGTCGTGTTTCTGCGAAACGAAGGCACATACCTTCTTTTGATTCTGCAGGAATCTGGGGAGTCCAGCGCGGAGCTCCGGAAGCAACTGGAGGCCACTGCGGGGCCTGCGTTGCAACTGGCGGCCTGGACTGTTGCCTGCCGCCCCACGCCGCACCTTCAGGAACTGAAGCAGACTGCCGAAGCACAACGGCAAGAGCTCGAAAAGCAAAAGCAGGAGTCATCCAGGCCACTTGCGCACACTGGCAGAGTGGGTCGTGGTCCCTGTTGCTATCGGACGCCCCTCAGGTGCATACAAGATCTACAAGCACAGCTGGCTTCAGTCGCAGAGAGTGCCAAGGAGAAGCAGAAGGCTGATGAGGAAACCTCCAGGCACACTGCTGCGCGGTTTGTTTGTATTCCTGAGTAGCCTCGGGTACCTTACAGATTCTTGGAACCGTCATGTCTCCTGACTCTGCTGACGTTGAAGACATCCTTCACATGCTTGCCCACTGCCATCGTTTGAGGGCACTGCTTGTTTCAGAGGCGTAAGCCCTCAATGAGGCCGATAATGTCGAGTCTGCGCTGCAAGCCGAGTTCCCTGCAGGACCAAAGACGTCACGGAAGCGGAGAAGGTGACGCAGCGGTTCGAGTTGGTTTGATATGTTTTGATGTCGGGGTGTAGGTCGTCACTGTCCAAGGGCATTGGTTTTCATGTT